AATGGGGGTTGGCAATAGATGGACCCACAGCACTGCTAATGTGCTTGTGGCATTTATGAAGTATTTGGACAGAAAGTCACTCCCACCTGGAATCTAAGGAAGAGTGACAAAAGGAAAAATAATCAAGGGAAGTGGCATTGATTCGAAAGAAAGAGCACAATGGGGCCGGAGTAGTCAGGAGAGCTTTGTGCGAGTCATGGGGTTTAAAGTGGTCAGGATTTAAAGAAATGGACTACTGTTATCTTTTCATCTTAAATTATCCTTAATACCAAATCTCATGGATATTTACTTGAGTTTCATTGTGCCCAAGTTGCTAACAAATTTGATCTCATCTCCAAATTCTTGAGTTCTCATGATTGCATTGTGAGTTCTATTATTTTCTCTTTATTGTCAGCATTGAAATCACAATTCCTTGCTCCAAAAATACAAAAACAAAACCACTTTTGCTAACTCATAAGCTATGAGGCAGAATCTTCTAGTCCTGACCTGTTTCATAAGAGGATCCAGTCCCTGAATAATTTCATCATATTTATATGAGTTACATAATGCATTATTTCTGTGTTGAAAACTTTTATTTAAAAGACCTATTAGAGGATGGTGATTTCTGAAGGCATATATTTTTACTATTTCTCTATAATGAGATTAAATTTACAAGCATCACTTAAGAGCAAATATTGCTGTAAGTTTTGTAATGAAATTTTTGAGGGCATGTTAAATAGTGGAGTTGAATGACTATTGATCTTAGCCTTCATTGATTAAAATGTATTGTTTTGTGTGTGTGTGTGTGTGTGTGTGTGTGTGTGTGTGTGTGTGTGTGTGTATGTAATGGTTTACTACTTTTTGGTGTAAGAAAGGGCATTTTACCAAGTTCCATGTGGTATGAGTTGGCACAAAACACCCCTTAGGAGTGGGTTTAGCCATCAGCCATCTGAATGGTCATTTCGCTCTTCATACTGCCAGTTGGTGGTTTGGGCTCAACTTCTGAGAGGCAGCATCCTTGAGAGAGAAGAGTAGTGTCACTTCAAGAACTGCCTTGTTTTGTACTTAACTTTTCTTGTTGGAAGTGTGAGGACCAAATGTAGCTGTGTAGGATGAAAGCCAGCTGCTTCTGAATAGATCCTTCTCAGCTCTGGAGGGTTGCCCCGCAGATGAGCATAGTTCTGTAGCTCCACTGCCCAGGTTATTATAATCCAGGCTTCTCCACTGACTGGAGGTTTGACTTGAGACAATCTATTTAATCCTTCTGTGTCTCAGTTTCTTTTTCTGTAAATAGATTATCCTCATAATACTTATCTCTTAAGGGGTTTCTGTGATGATTAAATAACTTAATACATGTAAAACACTTAAAAGAGTATCAGCCATGTAGTAAATATCCAATAAATGTATTGTTATTCCTATTACTACTAGGTAATTACAAGATTCCTATCTATAACCCTGCACAAATCTGCAACTAGTTTATCATCATCATAAATCATCTCTTAAATTAAGGTTTTACACCTGAATCAGAGATGCTGGTACTTTGTTATTGTCTGATTCTATGACAGTGTTGTCAATTGTCATAGTTTTACATGTCACTCATATTCCAGTGACTTCTATATCTTTGCACAGTTCTGGATTCTAGCTCTGTGCTATATATAACCATATTTACAGATGTTTACCAGAATCTTCACCTTGATGTCCCATGGACACCTGAAAGAAAAAGTGCCCACATTCTTAGCAAACTATCACAAGAACAGAAAACCAAACACCGCATGTTCTCACTCATAGGTGGGAACTGAACAATGAGATCACTTGGACTCGGGAAGGGGAACATCACACACCGGGGCCTATCATGGGGAGGGGGGAGGGATTGCATTGGGAGTTATACCTGATGTAAATGACGAGTTGATGGGTGCTGACGAGTTGATGGGTGCAGCACAGCAACATGACACAAGTATACATATGTAACAAACCTGCACATTATGCACATGTACCCTAGAACTTAAAGTATAATAGTAATAATTAATAAATAAATAAATAAAAAAGAAAGAAAGAAAAAGTGCCCACAACTGAACTTAGAATTTCCCTCTGAGCCTTGTTTTCCTACTAAAAAATGTTTTAAAACTCTTCCTGCTTTCCTTATGATATTACACTGGGTTGAATATTGTCCCCTCCAAAAGTCATGTCTACCCCAAGCCTCAGAATGTGACCTTATTTGGATATAGTCTTTGCAGATAAAATTAATTAAAATGAAGTTATGCTGGATTAGAGTGGACCCTAAATGCAGTGATTGGTGACTTTATAAGAAAGCCACATGAAGACATATTGGTATACACGGAGAACACCACGTGAAGTTGGAGGCAGACGCTGGAGTGATATGCCTACAAGCCAAGGCGTGACTGCCAGCCACCACCAGAAGCCAGGAGGGAGGCATGGAATAAATTCTCCCTGAAAGCCTCCAGAAAGATCCAATGCTGCCAACACCTTGGTTTTGGACTTCTGGCCTTCTGAACTGTGAAAGAATAAGTTTCTGTTGCTTTAAGCCACTTCCTTTGTGGTACTTTTAATGACAGCCCCAGGAAACTAATAACAGATACTGTCAACTATTATTAAATTTAGAGTTCTTAGAACTATCCTTACCTGTATTAGTTTCCTAGTGCTGCCCTCACGAAGTACCACAGACTGAGTTGCTTAAAACAATAGAAATTTATTCTTCCACAGTTCTGGAGGCTAGCAGTCCAAAATCTAGGTGTCAGCAGGGCCACACTTTCTCTGAAACCTGTGTGGGAATCCTTCCCTGCCTCTTCCTAGACTCTGATGGTTTGCTGGCAGTCTTTGGTGTTCCTTGGTTTGCAGCTGCAAAACTGTAATCTCTGCCTCTGTGGTCACCTGGTGTTCCCCCTGTGTGCCTCTGTCTTTACCTGGCTGTCTTCTTATAGGGAGGCCAGTCATATTGAATTAGGGGCCCACCCTACTCCAGTATGATCTCATTTTCCTCATCTTAATTTACCTAATCACACCCACAAAAACCCTATTTCCAAACAAGGTCACATTCTGAGGTACTAGGGATTAGGACTTCACATACGTCTTTTGCGGGGGGGCGGGGACACAACTCAACCCATAGCTCTACACCTTTCTTTTTTCACCATTTCAATTGATCCCCTTCTAGCTATTTCATGTTCTCCTGCAGCAGTATCTCTCAGAGGTAGCTCCTGTCCTCCATGCCCACTTCAGCTGCCCTGGTTATGGCACAGTCATCTTTCAGCGGTATTATTGCACTCACCTCCAGATTGATTTTCTTACTTCATTTCATTCTCTGTACATCCAGCAAGTTAGCTAATCAGTTTCTAATCAGATTTCTGTCATTTCACTGGCCAAGACCTACAGTGACTTCCCGTAACCACAGCCTCAAGTAGAAACTAGCACAGAAGGCCAGAAGTTTGGCCCCAGCTTCTCCTTCTAACCATCTCTCTTGCCACTTTGCACCATGTGCCACATACCACACTGGGCTACTCACCCTTTCTTGAAAATAGATTTTAGGTCTCCAGGCCTTTGCTTACACTGGTCCCTATGCCTGGAACACCCTTCACGACCCTAAACCCTCTGCTGAACTGTTTTTCATCCCATAAGGTGCAACTGAAACACCACTTACTCAGCTTGCTTCCAAAATTCCATTACATCAAATTATTGAGCCTTTGCCTATGTTTCTGTGACACCTTGCGATTCTCGATACTAATGTAACACTAGTAAAGATATAGAACCTCTTATATACAACAATTAACCTTGACAGTCATATTTTAACCTTGACAGTAGAAATATAAGCAGGCATATATATGGACTTTGCCTCCTGTTGATATTAATTAACCACTGCAGCATATTCAAAAAGTTTGTGTGTGTGTGTATATACACACATATTTACATATTATATAAAATGTGCATCTGTGTGTGTATATGTATACACACACACACACACACACACACAAAGTGGCTTATCTGCAAGATCACACTGTGAGTGATCCAGTGTTCTTTTCATTGTTTACGGAAGAAACAGTAACCAAGCAGCCAGTATAGCTACCAGTTTGTATTTTAAAAATTGGGTTCTTTAGGCGGCAGTTCACGCCTGTAATTCCAGCACTTTGGGAGGCTGAGGTGGATGGATAACTTGAAGCCAGGAGTTTGAGACCAGACCAGTCCGGCCTATATGGCGAAACCCGTCTCTCCTAAAAATACAAAAATTAGTTGGGCGTGGTGGCATGTGCCTGTAATCCCAGCTACTCGGGAGGCTGAGGCATGAGAATCACTCGAACCTGGGAGTCAGAGGTTGTAGTGAGCAGAGATTGCGCCACTGTACTCCAGCCTGGGCAACAAAGTGAGACCCTGCCTTAAAACAAATAAAATAAAAATAAAAATGGGGTTCCTAAGAAAGTATAGGAGGATCTATCACTGTATTAATGCTGCATGACAACTCCTGAAATTTCAGTGGTTCACAAGAAGGCACATTTCTTTTTCTTGTCTATGGGCATGCAGGTCAGTGAAGCATGGCTGGATTCAGCTAAGCTTGGCTCTTAGTCTGCAAGTCCAGCCTGGTCTGATCCCCCTTGGTCATTCTAAAAACAACAGCATCCTGGGCCATGTTCTTTTCATGGTGATGGCAGAGGCACAGAAGGCCAAGCCAAATGATGCCAGCACACTAGAGCCTCTGTTCATGATATGTCTGCTAACAGTATATAGGTCAAAGCCAGTCATGTGGCCAACCACATATCAAAGGAACAGGAAAATATACTCTTCTTACTCCACGGGAGGTTCTGCAGAGTCATATGACAAAGAATGTGGGCACGTAATTCTTATACAGGGAGGGAATGAAGAATCAAGAACAAGTATCCAGTCTATCACAAAGTCTTTATGAACCTGAAGTAGATGGTAGAAATTTTCCCTTTGAAAATAAACTTCGGTGTTGAATTTTCAAAACTGTACTTTGAAATGTGGTTCTAATCATATCCATTTTTGTTTTTTTTTTCTAGAGATGTGAAGATGTCTGGCTTGGCATGCCATCACCTATTCCTGCGAAATACATTGACTACTTGACCCTTTTGAAGGACGTGTTTGGCTTAGAGGAGGAATAACCATGCCAGTTTTGGTCAATTCTCTTTGATTTACTTCTCTCATTTTGCCACATTTACTTTAGTAGATATAATTTCATTAAAAACAAAAAAGAAACAAGGTTTATATTAAATGGAAATCCACAAATCAAAATTAATCCTATTTTGTCATGTTAGTTTTTCAGAACATCATGTTATATTGCTGCCGTACTGTTACTATTTAAAATGCCATCTTAAAACATGTTGAATATTTTTATTATATGTATATTTTATTAATACCAAAAAATCTTCTGATAATTTTTCATCCAACGTAATTTGATTCATTAGTATATGAACAGAAAATAACTTCTGAAGGTTATACATGACAATACAAAATCAAATTATATCACAGCAATAAGTTGTGATTCTATTAAATATTTTTGAAACCTTTTTGACACATTTATTACTTATATAGTTAAGTTTTGTAGCAACCCACCTCATCAAAATAATTCTTAAACCTCTCTAGAGTAAATATGTTTATTTTTTAAACTTAGTAAAGCTATGGGAAGAAAAAGAACCTCCCCAAAACACACACACACACACACACACACACACACACACACACACACACACACAGGAAACATATGCAGTATTTATATATGTAATGCCCTTTTTTCTATCTAAAGTTAGCTTGTTAGCTTAGGAATATATGCATGTGTATATAATTATAGTTTGACCAAAAATTTATTATGTCTAAAATATTTACAAATGTGAAAGCTGAAGATTTTGAGATTTTTTTTTTTTTTTGGTTTGTTTTACACACACATCCCACCCGCCCCACCCTAGAGGTTTAAATATTCAGAAACTACAACATTTTTCCCCTGCATTTTTCTAGTTCTATTTTTATTTTTCTTCAGCAGAACTCTTGTCATGTAGTATACATTTGATTAAAACCCATAGCCATGTACCTCTGGGAATTCAGTGTAAGAAGTCTATCCCCGTCTATCCCATTGTTCAATGTGGGGTGCTATGTATCATAAATCCATTTGCCTGGTGTTCTGGGAGACAATGGAGGTCTCTCAAGAAGGAACTGCACCATTTACCTTTCAGGGACTACTCTGAGAAGAAGAGGAGCTGATGACATCTCAAGGGACCCTTCGGACTCATTATTCTTTCACTCCACATTTGCAGCAGTGTCTTGCTGGCTTCTTGGCACTCAAATGTACCAATTTACTCTTGACAACAATGGCCCTTTCATTTTTAAAAAATTGAAGTTAATCAATAAACGATTTCTGTATATAAACCTAGAATAATTCCACATGTGCTATTGTTAGAATAGATGCTCCCCCCCCCCAACCCTTTCAGGACTTAACACTAAACTAGTATACTCAATTTATATACCAAAACTATCTACCATAAATCCTAAATTTGACTACTTGATTTTTGTCCCAGGTTTTTTTTAAGGCAACTGACAGTGCCAAGCCATTTTGTCACTTTAAGATTTTTCATTCCCCAGAGAGCAAGCTTTTAGAAGGATGACACTTTCCTGGAACTTTTCAAGCTGACACATTCGTCACTTACCTATTCAACTCTTCAGTCAGTTGTCTTTCCTTCAAGAGTTTAAATATGTAGATAATTTAGCCCTTGTAAAGGCTTATAATGTAGTTCATTTGAGAAGCTGGGGGAGAAAAAGGAAGCAAACCAATGACAATGCTCCTGAGTTTGTGGGGTGACAACTGCTTATTCTATTGCATAGATGTGTGTTACTGCTCTGGTTGTTTCTGGTTCAAGCCCACAATTAGCAATGAAATGGCCATTATAGGATTCATGCCGATAAACATGATACATTGCAGCCATACAGACATTTTAAATAATTATTCTTTTTATAACTAAGCCATATACTGAACAAGATTTATAATTTAGAGATAATATCCCCATTAGTAAAGTTTATGACCCAATAAACAGCTCCCACTAGTTAATAAATGCCAAAGCCATAAAAACAAAGACTATTAATGTAATAGAATTTCTGTACCTCCCTCTTTTGCTGGTGGTCTCAAGACACTGAAAGGAAATGCTATCTTAGGAAAAACATTTATTCTCGTTATGTAAATATCAGTGAATTGTCTTACAATCCATCTGGAAGTCTCCCAGCCCCCCTTGGTCCCAGGTGGTCCCAAAATGCTGATGCATTCTGCTTAGGTTTCAAGCAGTAGATAACTGTGGTTTTCAGCACCAATAAGTCCCGAAACTAAAATTTTGGGGGAAGGAGGGCTGGAATTTCTGCCTCTTCTCTTCCCTCTGCAAAAGAGAAATCCCAACTATTGTCATTGTTCCAGGGTAATAATTTGAAAGAAGTTTCACAACCTTTCCATATACTTATATTTTCAGCTGCTAACATGCTCTCATTTTGAAGAAAAAGCAAGTGCTGCCTTTGGATGTCTGGGTGAGTTGAAGGTTAATATAGGCAAACCTTTTGTCCTAAGAACTAATTGTTATTTAGTATTCTTGGAACTGTGGGAATGATTGATAAAGCCATTTGAAAACCCAAATCAAATCATGTCTTTTCATACAAAACTGATTAAAAGCTGTTGAAGTTCACATTAAGTGGTTTGCTGAGGCACTGTTGTGAGGTATTGTCACCAGCAGAGGATTAATTTGCAGTACTTACTTGCCTTTTATTACCTTTTTTACCTAACCACTTGAAAAGTAATGTGGGTAAGTCTATTGGTTTACTTTAGCTTAAGCTTACTAAAATAGTTATAATTTTAGACAACAGAGGGGAGATACAGAGCTTTGTAACTTTCAAGCATTTATAACAGTTTAAACATTTTGCCTACTTTATTTCCTGTATTGCCTTTGATTCAATTACTGACAAGTTACTATTCTTGTTATTATATTTTTTAAAGACTAGAGTATTTGAAGTTTGGTTATTTGGGGTCATAGAGCTTCCAGGCTTTATGGACCCCTCAGTCATGAGTTTAGAATATTTAAATTGCCCTCCCTTCTTTCAAATAGGGAATTATTGATGAGTAAAGTGAAATCTCAAATCAATGCAAAACACAAAACTCTTGCCTTTCCAACTTGAATTTATCTTGAGTTGGGGTTGTTTCCCAGCCTTTTCCACTTATTTCTTCTTTCTCGTTTCCCTTCCACCACACGATTTAGCTATAAGTTTAGTAGTTGGAGTCATAACGAAATAGGGCCTTCCACAAAATATTTATGATATTGAATAATGCAGAAACCATTATAATCATTATAATGAAGTGTCATGCTTCCAATTACATGTACATTCATTTTAGTTATGAGTATAGATCCCTGAATTTTGAATACCCTTAAAAAATGGTCTATAAATAACCTTTCAGACAAACAGCTTCCCAGTGATGGTAGAAACATATACACGAGTGATGCGTCTCTGCTCTAATGTTTGTTTGTGCAAAGTCTGAATTGCTTCAAGTTGAAGGCAGGTTAAGACCTTTTCGAAAATGAGTGTTTTCAAGTTGACTGAGCATCTTCAGAGACACCGTGCTTTTCAATTCCCAAGAGAATGTCATGTGTAAAAATGGAAAGCCCACTGAGGCAAGATCAATGAGGCTATTTAGAAAATAATAAACCTGGGGCGATAATGGAGCAAACATTCATTATTACAAAGGGTAGGACTGACTGTGCAATTAGTTTAAGAGAATTTTGTAACTCACCTCCTCCCCTTATTCTACCAGGTTATACATATTGGTTTAAATATACATTTTCATTCAAGGTCAATTAAGTTCCCTAAAACTAAGAGTTCTGAGACATCTTTGTCAATGGAGTGGCTAGAATATGCATCTTCTTTGTAATTTGTTCCTGGTCCTCAGAAAAATTCCTTGCAAGGGGACTTTCAAGCCCATTATGTGTCTGGTGTGTGGTACACACAGGAGCCCAGGGGTCAGCGCTGCGGCTCAGAAGCAACTTGGTAAAAGCTAAAAAAATGTGGCCGATGAAAAACTCCACAGCGGCTCTGCAAGCAGAGAATTAATGACTCGCTGGAATCAGTAGGAGCCTTTACTTCTAAATACTCATTAGTTAAAGCAGTGAGGCCTGATGTTATGCAAGTTAGAGAGGGAAAGGGGGGACTGCCCCTCCCCATTGTCTATTTTGAACAGAATATGCACATTTAACTCAAAGTGCTGAATGATTCAAATACATCAAACCAACTATTCATCAGTCTCCTAGCTTCCTGAGCACCACTTCGCATCTGTGTAAAGCCAACAATAGAGGAAATGCTTGTTATGACCCCACTATAATATTAAAATCCAGAGGGGCCGATAGCTTGGTGAAAACATAAAAATGCATTCTCCTTTAGAAATACTTCCACCAAAGTCATCTTTGTGTTTCTTTTTTCCTACTTTGCCTATACAACAAGAACCTCTGACTGAAATAGGAACTTGATAAAATTACTTTTGCCTGCTTTTTCTCCTGTGCTACCACTGTTCATTATTGCTGTAAGGCCACCCGTTGAATAAAAAACAGGAGCTGAACGGCCATTTCAGACGCCTGTGAATACCCCCAGTTTTAACTATGACTGGAGCTAGGAGAGTGAGAAGGGAAGTGGCAAAAGATGACCATTTTAGAGGGGAGTTGGGACAAAAATAGGGACCACCTTGTGTGTGTGACTCATGTTGAAGAGTTTGCACTTCATCCCAAGGCAATGAGAAGTTTCTGAAATATTTTAATCTGGGGAATGGAAAGATCATGTCTGTATTTAAAAATCTCTGGCTGCTTTGTGTGTGTGAACTCTAAGAGTGAGTTTGGCGGCAAGAAGACTGATTAGGAGACTGTTGCCAGAGAAGTGATGGGTAGTTTGGATTAATGTAATGTTGGTGAGAAGTGGAGGGATTCACGATGCATTTGCGATGTTGGAGATGAGGGAGAAGAAATCAAAATTATGACTGGGTCATTTTCACAGCTGGATAGATGGTGTTGCCTTTCATTGTACTGGGGTACATGAGAGAAAAATCAAGTGAAGGGAGAATATCAAAAATTCTGCCTTGGGCATGCTGAATTAGGGTGCTTGCAGAACTGATAAGTGGCCATGTTAAGGCAGCTGGATTAACAGGTCTGAATCTTAGCAGAATGGCCTGGGCTGGAGATACATACTTGGGAATCATCAGAGTATGGATGGTAATTGTGAGTTTGGATAAGATTACCCAGGGGAGGCATATTGTCTGAGAACCATAGTGCCTTGCATATTACTAACAGTAATAACTTTCTAAAAACCAGCTTTATTGACTTAACAGTAAACTGCACATATTTAAGTATACAATTTGATGAGTTGGTATATGTATGTACCCACGATACATCACCCCTATCAAGATCATAAATTGTTAAATTAAACTAAATTTGGCCTGAGGCTGCCTTCCTATTTTGAGTCCTAGCGTAATGAACTATAAATAACTGAAAGCCTGACTTAGGAGTGTCAGAGACATTTGAACCAGAGCGACTCCATCTTGAATAGGGGCTGGGCAAAATAAGGCCGAGACCTATTGGGCTGAATTCCCAGGAGGTTAGGCATTCTTAGTCACAGGATGAGATAGGAGGTCAGCAGAAGAAACAGGTCACAGAGACCTTGCTGATAAAACAGGATGTGGTAAAGAAGCTGGCCAAAAATCCACCAAAACCAAGATGGTGATGAAAGTGACCTCTGGTTGTCATCACTACTCATTATATGCCAATTATAATGCATTAGCATGGTAGAAGACACTCCCACCAGTGCCAGGACAGTTTACAAACGCCATGGTGATATGGTTTGGTTCTGTGTCCCCACCCAAATCTCACCTTGAATTATAATCCCCATAATTCCCACGTGTCAAGGAGGGGACCAGGTGGAGATAATTGGATCATGGGGGATGGATCCCCCATGCTGTTCTCATGATAGTGAGTCAGTTCTCAAGAGATCTGGCATTTCCTCTGCTTGCACTCACTCCATCCTGC